TATTATACAGCGGAAAGAAAAAGGCTTTTGTGCATTCCTTTCTTCCAATACATCCAAAGCACACCATTAATCCTTCCAAGCAAAAACCTTCACAAGTTTTTAACTTTTATTTAGTGAGCAATCCAAAAATCAAGTCTTTTTCGCTTCTGAATTCGATCGTGTAAAAAAAAGAGAGTAATTTTTTGTTGTTTTGGTTTACTTCTTCTTTCGATTTGCGCATTTTCAGCGATGCGGGAAGTTGAAACATCGGCAATCACAGCAGCTCCTCCACAATTCTCAACGATGTTTCAGAAACTAGCCATGGCGGTCAAAACCAAAACATACGAGTTCTTCACCGAAGACGGCGAAAGAATCGGCGTCGATTCTGATGCCGAGGGTTTCTCACTCCTTGACTCCGCCGAAGATTTCATCACCGATCAGAAAGTCGTCGTTCTCAAACCCGATAGACCTTTTACCTCCGAAACCCCTTCTCCGAGATCTCCGGTTAAATCTCCGGTGACGAGGATTTTGGTTAAACCTAATCAACCGAAGTTATCTCAGGTTAGGAAATTAGATACCCAGATGGGATTGAGTTTGATTTCTTCGGTTTTCGCTACTGTATCGTCTTTCGAAGCTTCGTATCTTCAATTGCAAGCTGCACACGCACCTTTCGTTGAGGAAAGCGTTACGGCTGCTGATAGAGCTCTCGTCTCTAACCTCCAGAAACTATCTGATTTTAAGCAGTATTATAGAAATTATCGACAAAGTTTGGATTTTGAGTCTGATTTAGCTATTGGGTCTTGCTTAGAGTCTCGGGTACAGGAGAATCAGAGCAAGCTTAGAGCTTTGGAAACGGTGTCGAATCGGTTACAAGCTGAGATGGATGCAAAGGATTTGCAGGTTTGGAGTTTGAGGAGCAAATTAGGTGAGATTCAAAAGTCTAATTCCAAGTTATCAAAGAGATTGTCTGCGAATTCGAAATCATCGTCCACTGATGTTCTGTTATCAGTTAGGGTTTATGAGTCTCTATTGCATGATGCGTTTAAAGCTACACAGAGATTCACTAAGATTTTGATTGAGCTGATGGAAAAAGCTGGGTGGGATTTGGATTTAGCTGCTAGTTCTGTTCATCCTGAGGTAGATTATGTTAAGAAGGGACATAACCGGTATGCATTGTTGTCGTATGTTTGCTTGGGGATGTTTCGAGGTTTCGATGGAGAAGGATTCGATGTTAATGAGAATGATGAAGAAGAGTCTGAGAGGAGTACTTCGGATTCTTCCTTGAGGGAATTGATGCAACATGTATCGAGCAATCCTATGGAGCTTCTTGAGAGAGATAAAGATTGTGGTTTCTCTAGATTTTGCGATAAGAAGTATCACGAACTCATTCACCCGAACATGGCATCTTCGATATTCAGCAACATGGATCAAACCGAAGCTGTGTTGAGTTCTTGGAGATCTCTGAGCACATTTTATGAGTCTTTTGTGATGATGGCTAGCTCGATTTGGACCCTTCACAAGTTAGCCTTGTCCTTTGATCCTGCAGTTGAGATCTTCCAAGTCGAAAGCGGAGTTGATTTTTCTATTGTTTTCATGGAGAATGTCTTAAGAAAGAAACAAGATAAAAAGTTGTCGATAAGTCCTACTCGAGCCAAAGTAGGATTCACAGTAGTTCCCGGGTTTAAAGTCGGGTGCACGGTGATCCAGTCTCAAGTTTACCTTACCGGCTTCAAATGTAAATGAAACAGACCTATGGTTAAACCGACGCTCAAGTGTCTTATGACTAAACTACTTCAAGGACTTGGCGGCTCGAATACTACAAGGGTTTATAACTTTTTTTTACCTTCTTACTTCTGTGATTAACTGTGTTCTTTAAGTCTGGTTTGAGTTCTTGATTTCGTTTAAAATGTATAGAAAGCTATTGTGATTTTTTCTTCCTTTGAATCAGAGTTAAGTTTGGTTTGCAATAAATTAAATTCTTTCTCTTCATATTAGTAAGTTTGTAACAGATTGATTATCAAAAATGTATTTCCCAAAATGTTTCTTTTGTGACTAATTTGATCAAATTTAACATTTTTATATGTTTTTGGCCTTTTCTGCTGTTTTCGTATTTCCAAGTAGCACTGCGTGTCGGTTTTCCACTTCTGACCTGCCCATTCGTGGGTTTCATAATGGCCCATTTTCGGCCATATACTGATATCTCTTGCGGTCAAATCATTGTTGGGCTTTATTAGGCCCATTTATTACCAATCAAACGGAAAAGTATTGCACGTGCGGAAGGGTCCACGTGGCATTAAAACATTCCTTTGTCGTAGTTTCAATTTATTTGGCTGTCATGGCTGACTTTGACCATGAAGTACAGTTCGGTACGACGTCGTTTTGACGTACTACCAAGAAAAGACAAGCTTAACGACTAACGAGAATTATTTATATACGATCGTTGATTACTGATCACATGATTAAATAAGTATATGATTTTTCTATGGTTTGGTCGTTCTTTTCTTGGTTGACTATGATTTATAGAATAAAATGGTTTTTAGACCAATTTGTCAAATTAAAATTCAAGTTATTGTTCTTAAAACGTATACCTATTTAATCCACCGCAAATTTAGGAACCGACTAATGTATTTTTAGAGAAACGATTATCTTTGCTTTATGTGAAGGCAATTAAGCTTTTAATTAACGACGTTTTACTAATCGGACGTTTTTTTCTAAATCTTGAATTGCCCTTCGAGGTATCCAAAAGTGTTTGTTACACGTCAGGTACGATTATCCGTACTAATAGAGACAAAATAATGCCAGCTGTACATATGCTTTGATATTATTTTACAATATCTCTAATCGAAATTAGCAACCTTTAATACCCACTTATACATCTTTTTTGGTCTCTAGAGTCAAGAGTCATCACCCAACTTATATGTGGATTTTTTAAAATGATATGAAATTGTTATTGTTTTATTGTATATCAAATGAAGCCATTAGTTTTATTAATTAACAAAAGGTAACTTCATTACGTATATTTTTGTGTTATTCAGTGATCTTTCACCTATTTATTATGTATGTTGCGTATGAGTTACACATTTTAGCATTATTCGGGTATATTAATTTGCAAGAATACCATATGTAAGTAAGAAGATCGATCCATGTTTCAAAGTTTTATTATTATTTCAACACATAATATAATTAACACAAAATAAATGTCTCAGTTTGTCAAATACAATACGAGTTAGGACCCCAACAAACAAAATTAACCAGGGAAAGTTTGTCTATCTATA